TGATCACCTTAGCCTCTGAAGACTTGATCTACTACAGCCTACGACCTACGACCTACGACCACGACCCCAGTGTACTGTTTAAACGTCAATCCCCAACTTCTGTTAGCAGACCCTACTGTCGGATAGCTGACCGTAACACTAGGAACCATCTAGTATTTTATGCGAGGAACCATGTGTATTTGTATTGATTTCTCGTATCGCCTATGTGTATGATTTATGGCACTTTTGAAATATGCAACGATATTCAGTTAGACACAAGACACCAATTACGGGACGGCACTCTCCTTAAATCAAATTCAAGGGAGCTGTCTTAGGCTGGCCAGCCAGCCCGTGGTAACGTGGCGAGCTGAGATGCAAGACATCATACGAGTCTAACCAGTCTCGCGCACGACGGGGAGTATTTCATCGTTTTCATTGTGAGCTATCATAAATCCTTTTGATGATAATTTCGAAATGAAGGCGCAAAGGTCATAGAACTCCATTCCAGTTGGCAAAGTGATCGAATATCAGGATTGACCTGGTCTAGAACTCGAATGCGGTCTACCTTACAGGAAGTGGTAATGACAAGTACTGGGCCTAGAGTCAGCGCATGAAAGTGTTGTGATGTTACTTGGTAAAGGCTGTCATAATCGTACCAAATTTGAGAAACAGGTTTACATTGCGAATGCCTGGTTGTCATAGTCGCTGCGACGGCCGTCCCCGAGGAGTCCAAAATGTTGACGCTGTCAAAAACAACACCATTTTCCTGATAGATCATATTGGGCCGTTAATATGTATGTCAATGACCCCTCTCACTAACTAATCACAACAGCTCTGACGACTGACGAATAACCACTGAATCTTTTGAGGCCCTACAGGCAAATAAAACCCATGACTTTGAATCAGGGGTCAAGGGCTTTGGGTGACTCCTAGGTATATCCTTAGGTTGCCTGAATTTTCATATACTTACTTGTTGTCAGGTAAAATAGGTGGACTTTAAAAGTATAGTATAAAGAGGGGCATCTCCTGCGACCAGACTTTGGGTTTCTTATGTTCTTTGTATTTGATAATGTACTGCAAGTCTTCCAGTGCGTGCTCTCGATCTATGAGTGAGTATGCACATGAATAGATGAGCCTTTTGGCTTTAGGGCTGGGAACGGGTCGAGGCAGGATCTCCAAAACCTGTGACCTGAATTCCAAGAACGCTGGTGAATCTTTTGACGTCGCTTCACCTAAACGCTGCTTGGCTTTTCGCTACCACATGGAGTAAAGGTCCACGTGGTTTAGATGAGGTCCCGTCATGGCCTCTAAGCTACGCATGTAGACTAAAGAGCCCGGCAATTGTTCCTCTCCAAGTACGTCAGTCCTCTTTTTCAAAGGGTAGCCTGATCGCACCGCGGGTCCGGTATTAGGCACCTCATCAATTTGATTGGCTCAGTACCACGGAGTGAACTCCTCTGTGCAAGTATGCATTGGTAAGCGGACTGCCGTGGAATCGGGACTTTCACTCCGGATCGACTTCCCTGAGGCTCAAGTCTCGGCGTATTTCCACCGTGACACCGTCAAACCCAACATGATGAGAAAAGGTTGGCGTCATGAGGCTTTGAGACACGTCCCGTTCGGGAAGGAGATTGACACCCCAGGGGGAAGCTAGCTCGTTATCAGCGGTCTGGAAGCCAAGCCTTTCGGAGCTAAGGCGTGAGCTACACCCGGAGCTGCGTTGGCGCGACCTTCTCGGCATGGACCGAGACGCCGCTTCGGTGGGGCGACCCTCGAGACATTGAGAAACTCATAGACGTCATTCATCGGATGGCACTTTTCGATGGGTGTTCTCCGATGGATAATTTGCGGCAGGCAGAGGACCGAGGTCTATTGCCTGACCTGAGCAGCTTGCAGCATGATCAGCTCAGAGGCGGGCAGGTCTGAGGAAATTCGAGCGTCATCGCGAAATCTGGCCGTATTTAAGTAGAAGAAGAGTGCACTTTGAAGCATAGCAAAGACAAAAACACATCGGCATATATTCTCGAACAATATTCTAGATATCATCACCACCACCAATCTAATCAGAATGAGCTACCCCGAAAAATTCCAGGGCTTCTGCACCCAGGGTCCGAAAACATGGAACAAGTTCAGCAAGGAGACCCTCACACCGAAACCATTCGAAGATCACGACATTGACGTGCAGATCGAGTGCTGTGGTGTCTGCGGATCCGACGTGCACACCATTACTGGCGGTTGGGGTGAATATGAGGGTCCGTTGTGTGTCGGCCACGAGGTAAGTCTACTGTAGAACATCTAAGACGGGTGTGCAAGATCTAAAAGCCATCAAGGTTGTCGGTAAGGCGATCGCCGTTGGCAAAAGTGTCAAGGACATCAAGGTTGGAGACAGGGTTGGCGTGGGAGCCCAGGTGTGGGCGTGCCTGAAGTGCGAGCAGTGCAAGCATCAGAACGAGAACTACTGCCCTCACCTCGTTGGTACGTTGACATGGATTTTTCGGCCGCTCCCGAAGGAAAGACTAACTAAAGAACCAGACACTTATAACGCAAAGTACGAGGATGGCAGCCAGGCGCATGGCGGCTTCGCAAGTCACATCCGCGCTCACGAGTACTTCACCTTCAAGATCCCCGAGAAGCTCAAGTCCGAGGATGCGGCCCCGCTCATGTGCGCCGGCTTGACGACCTACTCCCCGCTTGTCCGGGGCGGTGTGGGGAAAGGCTCCGTAGTCGCGATTGTCGGCATCGGCGGCCTCGGTCACCTCGGAGTGCAGTGGGCTAAGGCTCTCGGCGCCGAAGTCTACGCCCTCACGCACTCGCCCGACAAGGCCGAAGACTGCAAGAAGTTGGGTGCCAAGGACGTCATCAACACGACAGAAAAGGACTGGGCGAAGCCCTGGGCATTCAAGTTCGACTTCATGTTGAACTGCTCCGACATGACCAACGAGTTTGATCTGCAAACCTACCTGTCGACGCTCAGCGTCGGTGGTCACTTTCACATGGTGGGACTTCCGGATAAGCCGCTTCCCCAGTTCCCTGCGGGCCTGTTCACCAGCAACTCGGCTAAGATGTCCGGAAGTCATATTGGAAACCACCAGGAGATGGATGGGCTGTTGAAGCTTGCCGCTGAGAAGGGCATCAAGCCATGGGTTGAGACTATTGACATCTCCGAGGCAGGATGCAAGGAGGCGGTTGAGAGGGTCAAGGAGAACAAGGTTCACTACCGATTCACCTTAGTTGGGCACCAGAAGGCGTTCGGTACCGCTTAAAATTTTCCCTTAATTGAACCAATTTACAGCAACTTCATATCCAATTGATTCGTACTCAAGTTTTCGATGCATTGCTCGCCCCCAAGTATCATGTGGTACACAGTATTAGGTTTTGTTATCCGCTCATTGAGCTCTGCGTCAGCCAGAGTGACTCCCGAACCCCGCAACGCCCGGCCCATCCGGACATCATCCAAGTATGACAGTGTGTGCACTTTCATCGCTGAAAAAGTCGTAGAAGGCTATCAGCTACACATTCAGTTAGTTGATCGGAAGTGAAACCAGCTTACGAAGGATTTTTTCGTCGAGAAAGGTTCAAACTGCATCCACTATGACCCCTGTAGGGATGACTCTTCGCTGATGACTGACAGTGGCCCAGCGGATTCAAATTAAATGCGGGCGCCAACCGGCTAGCCGGTTCAGTGCGATGGGACCACTAACAAGCTTAATCCAAGCCTTGATGCGGTTTAGGTCTTACTTCACACTCAATGTAAGATGCCCTTTTGATGCCGCCCCATCTGCTCGGTCTGCTGCTGACCCTTGGCAATTGTCGGCAGCTCAAGGATTAAACTTCGGGTTAAAACCACAACCCCTCTCACTGTGTTCCGTTTGATCGTTAATCAACCACCAGCGAAGCCACACTCACACAACTGCACTCATCACACTGCCAGCAATATGGCGGCCGAAATTCACGTCATTTCCAAGAAGGACCTCACCAAACATGAGACAATCTCAGTCAATCTGTCTCTTCCCCCCTTAGCCCCCTCGTCCATCCGGGCGCGCTCAACTCTCATCGGCATCACATCCAACAACCTCTCATATGCTAAGCTCGGAGACATGCTCCATTGGTGGTCCACCTGGCCCGTCCCTCTCGACGGCCCCGCCCCGTATAACAACCGGGATGAGTGGGGTATCGTGCCTGCGTGGGGTTTCGCCAGGGTTCTCGAGTCGAACATCGAGGCCATCCCCTCCGGCAGTCTTGTCTACGGCTACTGGCCTACCTCATCACACGAAGTTGATCTCAACCTCGTACCACACGAGCCCAAGGGTCACTTCCGCGAGGTGAGCGACCACAGGAAGGAGCTCGGAAGCATCTACAACCGGTACAACCTCGTCGACGAGTCCGCTAAACCAGAGGAGTTCAGAGCCATTTTCGCTAACGCGTATCCTATCTGGAACGCGGGCTACGTACTTAACCGCTTCAGCTTCCCGACGGAGTTTAAAGGAGTTCACCCAACTGGCCAATATGGTGGCGAGTGGACCGACAAGGACGGGGATCTGAGCTCCGCCGTCGTTGTCAACCTCTCCGCATCAAGCCGGACGGGGCGGAGCATCACCTGGAACTTTGCCCGGAACCGTAAACCGGACACCAATGGGCCTCTTGCATGGCTGAACGCCACTTCTTCGTCTCATTATTTAAGTCCTTCCCCCGAGGCTCCCTTCGAGATCAAGAATGTGAAGTACGACGAACTTGCTGCTAAAGAGACGATCGACTGGATTACTAGTGTCCAGCCTAAGCGCGTTGTGGTATTTGACAACGGAGGCCCTGTGGAAGTCACAGAGCGGCTCCGCGAAGCTCTGGCCGCCAAGTTACCGAAAGGTACAAGCTTCACTCTGGTCTTGATTGGCGGCGAGCCAAAAATGCAATCTCCAGATGAGTTCCAGACACTTATGGGCTTGCGAGGGAAGTGGGGTGTCCCTGTTCAACTGAACACGACTTGGGTCATTGACGATGGTGTTGAGGCGGAAGGCGCGGAGAGCTTCTTCAAAGCAAACGAAGCTGCATTCGAGAAAGCAGTCGGGGAGAAGTACCTAGGAGATATGGAATTGGTTTGGGGCACTGGAGTTGGTGGTTCCTCAGGAGTTGAGAAGGCATGGGAAAATATCATTCAGGGAACGCTGACGCCCAACAAAGCCTGGGTTTACCGCCTGGGCAACTAAGATGCAAGCGAACCTGTGGACAATTCCATTACCTGTCGTCATTGCGTAACGAATTGCACCGAGTAGAAGTCGAGAATATGCCCGAGGTTCGGGCTCGGTATCGGAGTTGAGAGCGCGAACAAGTCTCCGGCTGGATATGTCAATACCTAGGCCACCAGACCCACTAGCAATCAATTATTATGCTTCATTAGCTTTTCTGTGGCTCTTTTCAGGCGGAATGTTCCTTTTGTGATTACATTTTCCCTAAGCTGCACAGCCATAAGGCCATATATGTAAAGGCTTGAGTCAGGAATACGGGGTTAAGTTCTTGGAGGCGAGTTTCAGACGGCCGTTTCAGACGAACCTCAACTCCGGCCGCTCAGTACCGGCAGTCCGGTTCAGCTCGGGGATACCGTCATCAATTAAGGGTTGCTGTTAGCCAATAGTCTGAGTGAATCAGTATCCGAAGCTCATGCTCAGAGTCTTTCTTGACTTGCTGCGATACATGGTATGCACATCTAGTGCCCACTTCGCCTGCCAGTTGTGTTTGACAGCAACCTTAATTCTTTACGGCGACTTTTTATAATAGCTTTCGTCTGTCAAATCCTGGTAGTCTTCCTGTGTTCCTTTGTAAATCATTTGAATTAGGAAGTTTCCTATCTCGAAAACACCAAAATAGCCAAGTCAAGTGTTCTCAAAGAAGATCTGCCGATCAAGCGCCCAAGCATTCGGTCAAGTACAAAAGCAGCAGACATCGCCGCTTGAACTGACATAATGTTCCAGCTAGTTGGTCATCAAACAAGCAGGCAGCTTCATTCTTATTCAAAATCTTGAAGTCCGGTACTTCCACGTTTTTAGACAATATTCTTTGAGTCTGTCACCTGTCCATCTCATTCACATCCAACAATATGAAGTTTACTGCAGTTATCGTCACTCTCATTGCCGTTGTTTCGGCTGCTGTCCCTCACCCAGTAAGACCTTTTACCCCCTTAAATGCTCATTCGTGGACATCGCCGAATGCTGACTGATATATCAGCGTGACACTACGGGCATGGAATTATTCCCTCGTCAGGCAGATTGCAGAAGAGCGGATGGTAATACCTGTTCTCTAGATCCTCCAATGATTTCACATTGAGCTGATTTACAACCACAGAGTTTTGCAACGACAACGACCCTCTGCCTCACGATTGTTGTAAGGGACTTAAGTGCACGCTGGAGAACCCGGCTGGCATTGGCCCAACCAAGATTTGCCGATAAATGCTCTCGATCCAATGGCTGAGATGGATAAATGGTAAAATCAATGTTCATCCAGACTAAGTAAATAGAACAAGAATGAATTGTATATACTGGGTTGCAGAAGCTTGCAAGGCAAGATCCGAGTTGCGCCTTCACAAGATGTGCATTCGACCTGTCCCGCCACGGTTTTGTTGTCGATGTTTCGTGTCATCAAATGAGCGAAGGCGCACCTGAATTACAACCGACACATCTGCATGAAAGTGAACGGAGAATACAGTACCTCTAAGCTTGCGCCCTCCCAAAAAAGCCCCATTCAAGTGATGTGACAACGTATGTTTCTCATTTTCCTTTCAAATATCACATATCAACCTCGCTGAAGTACCTTTACGCCCATGCTACTAACGACACCTAACGAAACTCGAATCTCCTTCAAAATGTTATGGCATCCTCAGAAATAGGTACCAAATTCCCCTTGCCCTTGAACTTTTCCACAATGTCCGCTTGCTCGGACAGCATGAGCCTGTCGCTCTGATGTCCAAACCTCGCAAGCACCCTCCACCGCGCCAAATCGCCGGGGTTGCGCTTATCACCGTGCGCCGCCTGAGGATTTTCCCAATGACCCCGCGAAAACGAAATGAGAGTCGAGATTTTCTGATTCGGAATGTCGTAGACCAGCGAGCAGACAGTCCCCGTCTCTTCGAGCCAGTTCACCTGCCATAGCTCGCCGGGGCGAATACACTGATACGTGGCGGCCTGGTAGTTTATGCGGCCCGCCATCGGTCCACCGTGAATGGCGTAGACTACGCGGTCCTCGGAGAAGAACCACATCTCATAGCGCCATTTTTCCGGATTTCCATTCTCATCCTCGGCGTCGTAGTCGTAGATAAGGTGCACGTCGCGGATGTCCTTATCAAAGGTCGAGTCCAGCGGCGTGTTGGTTTGAAAGCGGGGCAGCGGTTTCGCTGGTGCTCTGTTGGAGAGGAACATGACTCGTGCGTTTCTGGAAGGCTGGTAGATGTTCTGGAATGCGTTGATGACGACAAGTTTGTGAGCTAGCTCAGGTAGGGATAGGCAGTTTATAGAGCTTTTTGAATTCGAATCCTGAAGAGTCTGAGGAGGTAGCAGTTCGTCGGACAAGTGAATAGACGCCGTTTTATCACACGGATGTCCGTGGAGAAGGGTGCTCGGGTGGTGTGCCGGAAGTGGTCTGTCGGAGCGGGTCTGTGTGGTGACATGCTCGATTGTCTAAAGACTATTACATCATAGGCCGAACCTTCCGGCGATACCGCGCCATGTGGACAAGAAAAACTTGTAAAGCCTTTGGTCTTTCGCGCACGGAATGGGCAATTTGTCAACGATGAATCAGGAAGCTGCCGTTGACGTGTTAGCTTGGCTAGAAACCGGAAGCAAACGTGGTAGCTCTGAGTGGGTGCACATGACGAAGGATGCTTCCTAGACTGCATCCAAGCCCTCGAAGGCGGACTTGGCAGCATATTCTAGTAAATCAGTAAGTTTCATTGCTTTGCGATGAGAGACGTTGAGAGACGTAGTAGTAGCAATAGTTGAAGGTGATTGGCCAAGTCAACTCACCTGCATGCTGCTGCCTGCATGGCGACTTCAGAACCTCTCCTTGAGTCTTGGCTCATCTGTGCTCTGGCCGAGAGATGTCTGTACACATACCTTTGTGCTCAAAGTGGCCAAGCTCGAAGTAAAATCAGAGTTGCGTCTGGCCTGAGACTTCGTATTCTTTTCAGAGAATTTGGTGGCTAGATCCTCACATGGCATATCTACCCACCAACCTCGATTCCTGCATGCCATTTACACAGACGCAAGCCATCATGCCAACCCCAGAGACACCATCAGATCCGAGACCTATCAACACGCCTTAATCAGCGACCACCCGCCTAATCGTATACGGCCAAAGACGTAAGCGGCCAAGGATATTACATAGGCTAGCGCAGCGAATATTATCAACCCCCGATAGCCGCCCCCCTCGGCTCCTAAAATCGCCCCAGCGATTGGAATCCCGATGAGAGTACCAAAGCTACAAAGAGTGTATGCGGTACCGTTGCGTTTCCCATAGTCTTCCGTCCGACAAACCAAGCCAATGGCGACCGGAGCAAGACTCACTGATGCTCCTGACCAGAATCCGTAGATGATGGCGAACGCTGTTGTCATGGCCCGACTCCCATTTGCTGTAAGCCAGAGGCCAAATATCGATGCCATGCAGCAGAATGTGATAGCACACATGGTGTTCATGACACCGAATCGATCAGCGACGTAATTAGGTAAGAATCTACCCGGAACGGCGCCAACGTTGAGGAGGGGGTTGAGCATGTATGCGTCGAGGTATCCGAACCCAGAGTAAGTACCATAGGAGCAGATGTATGTGATAGGAATGAAGACGGCAAACTCAACGAGAACTAGTCCAAGGGCCACTGCAGCGCAGTCAATGTCCTTGAGGGCTTTGAGGTCGATGGAAGAGCCTCTTGACTTCTCAGGTTTCAGCCGTTTAGTCAGTAGGCAGCATGCCGCTGCCCCGTGAATGGCGCATATGAGAGCTATCACTCGTATAGACCAGCCGAAGCCGATGCGAGGAGCCAAGTAGAGGATGACGAGGGGCATCCAGACGCCGCCCACACCTCCCGCAGTGCAAGCCAGGCCAGTGGCCAGTCCTCTCTTCTTGTGAAACCAATGACCGATTGCCGATACAGCTGGATTGTACAGTAACGACGACGAAATCCCGCCAAGCACACTGAACGAGAGAAAGAATTGGTAGAACTCTGGACAACAATTAAAATCATCATCGAGAACTCATGATGCTAGGTAGCCTGAGACATGAAACTTATGAGGCTTACCGGATGAAAGGCTCATGAAAACGAGAGCAAGTACGATGCCGACAGCTCCGGGAATGATCAATAGGCGCATGTCATGGGCATCAAACACAGGGCCTGGGGCTGTTAATTTCAAAACGATACGCATACACTTGCTCCGGGCTGCCTTACCTATTTGAGCGCCACAGAAGAACAGGAAGAAGGCATAGCCGCTGAATATCCATCCAGTGGAAGACTCTGGCATTCCTTGCAGCTCGTGCTCTCCGAGCCAAGCCTGGAGGACGGCGAGCGAGTTTAAGAGACCCATGGAAGGTATCATGGCACACCAGGCGCCAAATACGACTAGCCAAGCTCTCAATCCGCCATCTGGATAGTCCATGATAGATTCGGTGCTTCCAGCGTGGGTCATTATGCCTTAGAACTATGTCAGCTGTGCTTACGACCCTGAATAATTGTTTGCTACGTACCATCTGAAACCGAGCTGTGCGGTCGCTCTGCTGGCTGCGGTATATTCTCTTTCATGCTGGGGACCGTTTCTTGACCGCACGGCGAAAGTGGGTGTTATCCGAGTTTGCCGCGGAAAACTAATCATTCACGTGGGTGATTGTCTAGACTTTTGGAAAATGTTTCTGGATACGCGCGACTCTTAATTATTGAGACTCGCTTTCATAACTCCGCGGAGGTATCGGTCAAATTAGCACCACGGAAGCCATTCTTTCTGGATTTGGCGACCGCAAGGCGTCGTCGACACCTTGGTGGAGCTTGATTTCCTTGGGGCAACTTTTTCCGTAAACGGGCCGGTCCGGCCGTTGAGCATAACGTGTTACACTTGAAATATTTCCCTGGAATCTGGCAATGGGGGCACAAATCCCGAAGTCAATCCACATTTGACGTATTGGGATGCCAATCAAAATTTGGGACCTGCCTCATGAGAGGCGAGGGTTACGCTATCTGGAAAGTAGCTTCAGATAGGCGGAAGTGCCGCCCTAGTCTGTTGGAATTGGCGGGAAAGCTTCCGCCCTCTCGTGGTTTACAAAAGCTTTTTGTCGTTAGTTTGCTTGTGCGATATTGAGGGAACCAGGCGTACATGTTAGGAGAGTAATCTGATCTGGCATTGTAAGGAGAGCGTCAGTGCAAAAGATGGGTAGCGATGAATGAATATTTGGCACATAACATGGTGGCTAATAGATTTTGATCATGACTGGGGCACATGGGACGTTCCTTTTGTTCTCAATTCATGTTTCATTAGTAGAGGAGCATTCAGGAGGTTCTTTGAGGCGTTGCTTGGCAGATAGGACTGGTAATTCTCGCGAAAGAGCTCTTGGCCAAGACAAGATCATGTAGCAACGCGATTCATTGATCAAATGAGATGTTATTGTTAAGGATAGTTGTCCGGGTCTCGGGGCTCATTTTCACAGTTCCTTAGTGATTGTATACAGTTTACCTCGACAGCTACTCACTCGAACTCATACCTACAACAAAACACATTGGTGACAACCCAAAATATCAAAATCGGGATAGTCTAGACTTGCGCTCGACTGTTACCAGAACAACACCGGACTCGGACGCCGAGGATAATGTATGAGAAATCAGCAGTCCTTCGCATGACTTTCACAAGAAACTATCACATGTGCTTTAGTCGAGCGTCTCAAAACAAATTTCAGTTTTGGTTCACTCCTGTTGAATCAAGACCTAATCCGTAGTACAGGAAGCATCTATCCCCACAAACAGACATTGAATCGGAGACATCAGCGCCACATCGGAAGAGATGCTTGGGACCGGCCCGAGTATCGTGAGCACATGAAAAGTCGGGTTTGTTGAGCCTCTTGGCAAGGACGAGAGAAATTATCCTGAATCGTCAACATTGAGCAAAACGTCTCGCTGATCACTGGATCTCTGCGCCGGTGTGAAGTTGGAATGTCGCAGGCTCATGCGGAATGAGTAGAGGTCGGAAGAATATGTCCCGTTTTGTTGATAATCGCCAAAGTGAGCCACAGATTGGGAAATGGGGTGTCTTGAACGTTCGCGCAAGGCGGCGCATGTGTTTCATGCGGGGTGACCGAGCTGAATGCGGCGACTCCATTTTGCTGGTATGCCGGAATGCAGTTTTCCGTGAAGATCATTCTTCGGATCCGAGAGGCATACCGAGGCTGGACTCCCCTATTGATCCGAACCCTCAATGGTTGCTTTCTTCAACGTCAACCGAGCTTCTTAACTCCGGTCTTGGCTGGAAGAGAAGACAAAGTGATAGCTTATATCTAGCTATGGAATCATATCCGCTAGATCGGTATTTTCTGGATGGGCAGTGACATCTCAGGTTTCTTCGTTGCTTGATATGACCGTAGGACCCCTCCGAATGCCAAGTGCCGCGTGTAAGACAGCTCCCCTCCTTCGGTCTGCGTCAAATGATTGAGATCTTGTCCCGAAAGAGCACGTCGAAAAGTCACTATGGCATTCTGGGTTCGCCATGTTGTAAACGAGCCTATTAGAGCGTTGGGCAAGGGAGACCGTCCGTGGGATGTCTCACATCTGTGTTCTGTGGCTGGCGTGTCCCGCAACCATCCACCTGGATACGCCTGGATACAGACACAACTTTCACGACTTAGCAGGTACAACCCTTTCTATTGGTTATTGCTCCTTGAATCTTTGCATGGCTCGTGCCGTTCCCCAAGAGGCCTTTCCGAGAATGATTTACTGAGATGGGATTCTCCCTCTCTTTTGTCATGAGACATTCATTTGGGCAATTGCTGGAATCACTCTATTTGGCCAATGCTCGCAGGCAGGATGATACCGTTAACGGAGACGATGAATCTTCAGGATACGCTGATTGTTGAGATCAACGGTAGCTAGAGAGTATGTTGTCTAAGACCCTAGGGAGAGAGCTGGGATTTTGTCTCTCTCCTATCTCGTTTTGGTGGAGACGAGTGCGTTTGTGGCAGCCGACAACACCGTTTTGGGAAATCAGCTCCTAGACAGCTGGATACCCGGGGAAGCCATCAATGGCTACCATTGTGTTGTTGGTCCTTCGGATGGCGTCTCCTCTCATCCTGGAATTCCTCCCACGAAAAGTCCTTCACACAGCATCCATGACTATATATCTGGATCGTTATTCTCCTGTTTTGTGTCTTCTCTTTCCCGCTTCATCCGATCCTTGCCCACCCATGACCGAGATATCCAGCACTTCATTGAATCGTAACCTTGCTTACGAGCTTCCTTACTTCAACGAAATGGCTACCCTCGACACTCACACCAATGGGATTTTCATGCCCAAGGACTTCGTCGGAATGGACAGCATCCTCGATGAGGACCTGTCTACTTCCCCGGATGCCACATCTCACATCTTCGAGATGTCCCGCACCAGACGTCTGCCTCGTCCCAACGGCGTCCTCTCTCGCGACGCCAGCCCTACGGGCTCCACGCGCTCTTTCGCCAATGGTCACAGCCATAGCTCCCGTCGCATCCTGAGCCGCACCCGAACTTCATCATGGGGCAGCTACCAGAAGCAGTACAGCTCCGAAGTGGCCAAGGAGCTGACCGCTCAAGCCGAGGGCGAGTTCTTTGCCCTCACCGAGCTGATGGCCAACATGTCTCGCCGGAGCACCTCCCTGAGGGAGGTCTGGAGCAAGATCATCGCTGAGCGGGAGTCCTGCTATGCTGAGATGGACAGGATGCACCAGCGCATTGAGGAGTTTGCCGAGATCATCGAGATCAAGGAGAGGGAGCACTCTCACAACCACCACGAGCACGAAGAGCGCCAGAAGCAAATCCTCAAGTTCAACATTGACCTCAAGGCCGCTGTTAACAGCACTGCCGAGTTCAAGACGAAGCTTGCTGAGCGCGACACCGAGTGCCGCCACCTCCTTCACGAGATTACGCAAGTGAAGGACACTCTCAGCCACGTCAGGCGCGAGCATGAGGAGACGAAGAAGACTGTCGAGACCACGAGACACACTCTGATCTCGACCGAGAGTTCTCGTGCTGAGCTCGAAGACAGGTGTGGCAAGCTTCGTGGCGACCGTGATGCTCTCGACCTGAAGTACACCGAGCTGCTCTCTCGTTATGAGGAGCTGACGACCAAGCACGACACCCACCACAAGGAGCTTGTCCACTCCAAGCAGCTCAACTCTGTTCTCAAGAAGGAGAAACACGACTGGCTCCACCGCGAGAGCGAACTCGAGGAGAGGCTGCGCAAGCATGAGCACAGGCACGAGGAGATCAGACGCAAGAACAAGGAACTCGAGGATCGCCTCGAGAAGAAGCAGCTCGAGATCAAGGAGTTCCAAGAGGTCATCACCAGGGCTGAGCAGCGCGTCACTAAGGTCAGACACGAGAAGACCGAGCTCGAGCAGCACATTGAGAAGCTCAAGCGCGACATCATCAAGGAGCACAGCTGCTGGGAGGAGGCCGAGGATCGCAGCAGCAAGTGGAAGCTCAAGTGGGAGCACTCTGAGCGTGAGATCGTGTCTCTGCGCGAGGACGTCTCTCGCGTCGAGATCATTCAGACCGAGCTGCGTGAGACCATTACCAAGAAGATCGAGGAGATCCGCGTTCTTCAACTTGAGAAGAAGCGTGTCGAGGAGGAGAGCGGTCGCCACTCCGGCCGCGCCGATGATATCCACCGCCAGCTGGTCATCATCCAGGAGACTCTCAGCCACACCGAGTCTACGCTCTCCAAGACTCAAGAGGAGATCCACTCCAAGACCGAGCGCATCGAGCGTCTGCAGCTTGAGTTTAACACCGCCAAGACCAAGATCAAGGACTACGAGATTGAGATCAAGAGCCACAAGTCTCTCGCAGCTACTCTGCAGGTCGAGGTTGAGAGTCTCACGACCGAGTGCGGCTCTCTTAAGCAGAAGTGCCGCGACTGGGAGGGCAGGTACGAGGACGTCTGCGAGAGCGTCACCGAGTACGAGGATGGCGGCTCCGGCTACGAATTCGAAATCAGCAGCATGCGCACCATGCTTCGTGAGTCGAGGGAGCAGAAGGAGAAGGCGATCAGCGCTCGCAACAACGCCGACCGCGAGCGTGACGAGGCTATCGCGAGATACGAGGAGAAGTGCCGCGAGATGGAGAGGCTCGAGGAGAGGATGAGAACGCAGTTGCACGAGCAGGAGAGACGCCGTTCCAGCAGCGGCCGGACCGTTGTCAGACACTTTTCCAAGAGTGGTAACGGCATGACCAGCAGCAGCGAGGCTGGCAATGGCCACAGCCACAGCCACAGCCATGGTCACAGCCATAGCCATACCCACGGCCACACCCACAGTCACGGCCATATCCACGACCACGAGAGTGTTTAGTTGGGATTCAACAACTTAACAAGGTCCTTCTTTATTCTTTTCCTTTTTCCACAAACACTTCCAGTCTTTAGTCTGAGTTCGCAAGACGATTTTTTCTTTGTCAGGTAATCGCCAACGGAGCGAGTAGGTCGCAGATCAGAGATTGAATAAACCCCTACTATTCTTGAACGTCTGGTCAAGTCTTGAACTGCTTAGAGAACAAGTCCAAGAGTCCATGTGTTCTTACAAAAACAAACAAACCTAATACAAGATTACTCTTCAGATCTGATACCGACCTCAATCTGGCTATTCGTTTCGTTTGACATGCAACATCATGAGGACCTTTAACAGTGGATGTAAGAGCGTGGTCTGAAGATCAGTTCCAGACGGCTGCCGTGTCGTCATCTTACATGCATTTACAGCATCACAGCAACAAGGCGATTGGTCTTCTAAATTTTTACACAAGGTGTTGCTGAAGATTAGGCTTTGGAGTATTTCTCCCACCCTTTTTAATTACAAATTCCCCGATTGATGTTCCATAACGTCTGTGTTCTCGAGATGTTTGGGTTCTCCGGTGGTCCCTGTCAGCTTATGGCACTGGAATTGGTCGTGGGTGATTAACATTAGTGGCCCGACAGCGACTGCTTTGCGCTAACACCTGCTGGTAATCTCGAGCAGCCGGAGATCTGCACCTCATACGACGAATGCGATGCTCGGCTCTCACAAGCACTGACGAGGCGTTGTATGTAGAATAAGGTAAGTCATTTCGAATCCCGTGAGACCAACGATTGGCAGAGGTTGCTGCATTTCCAATGCAGGCATCACGCAGCTCTGTCGTAGACCATGTGGTCGATCAACAGCAAAGTAGGTTGTACAACACCCAACAAAAGCACCGCACCTACCTAGTGAGTTTTACATGGACATGCAGCCGGAGTATCATCCGAAGTCTTGGTCTTTCAACGGCGGCTTACGTTGAACCATATCGAATTAAGATCCATGTTTAGAAGCTTGAGTGGTCTCAATTGGTAATTCCTTGGTGAAGGATCAGTAAGCTCCCAGCGGGCGCTCAATCATAACGACTGACTTCTGACGAAGAACAATCATTCGTGGCTGTGGGCAGCACAGTACCGGCGCCAATTTGCCGGCTGTACTAGCGTGCCCGTTTTTGGGTTGCTCTTTGTTCACACTGAGTGGAAAACACTAAGATCGATGATGGAGGGCCAACTCACGGGGAAATCCATGAAGCCCATCACGCGTTTGCTACCTTTGACACAACTCTCTAGCACTTCATCTCGTGACTGCGGGGACCTCGGACTGAGTGCCTGCAAAAAGACCTCACAGGTCGGGTTGACATCGACCCTGGTCGTGCTATTCAGGGGCGGAAAGGCTGGAGCCGTTGGGGCGAAGGATCCTGCCCTCGCTAACGGGTTCAATCCTACGCTATTCTCGGTTGAGTAACTGGCAGCTGCCAGGCTTCAGCGTTTTGCTCCGGAAGTCATTGTTTAAGGACTGCGCATGGCCCCCAAGATCCATTTGTCCTTGTTCTTTGCTTGTCATCCATATCCAATCTTGAACATGTCCATGATGGAGCCACAGTCGTCGGGCTCAAGCTCGAAATCCAAGTCGTCCAGCCCGGATCCGTCCGCCGGAGTCATGGCCCCGCTGACGACCGGGTCTCGGGGGAAGAAGAATAGGTACGTCAACATCGGCGCGCCTCCGATCGTGGCGGCCGCCCCCTGACACTGGAAATCCATCTGACGATGCTGCAGATTGCCGGGGATGTCGCCTCAAATGGTCACTTTCTCTCTACATCAACGCTCACAAACTAAGAGAGCTTCTTCAAAGAAAGTGAGAACAGGTTGCATCACATGCAAGTAAGCATTGACTCCAAGTCCTAGTCATATCCCCTGATGGGCTGACGATTGATGCAAGACGGCGGCACATCAAATGCGATGAGACCAGGCCATTTTGCCAGAAGTGCACCAAGTCACCCCGCGGGCCAGGGGTATGCGAAGGGTACCCTTCCGACCGCAACACCAAAGCAGGGCACCGCCAAATCCAAGCTGCGCCGCGCAGGATCGTGGCGAAGGGGACATGGAGAATCCAGAACATTCTCGTCGAACCAGGGTACGACTCTGTCTTCTTCACAGACCCGGAAGAGAGAGGCTACTTCGACTTTTGGCGCATCCTCGTCGGCAACATCTACCTCTTCCCCAACGATGTCATGTCCCGCATCCTCCCGCAGCTTGCCCGACATGAGCCCGCCATCAAACATGCAGCCCTCGCGATGGCCGCGATGGCCCGCGCTCTGGTACCGAACCTCAAGCGTCGAACTCGAAGGGAGCTACATAGCAATGGGCCGCACTATGAGTTCGCGTTAAAGCATTACGGCCGTGCCATCAAACTTGTACGCACGTCCACGCCGTCGACTGATAATATGCTCTGGGCTATCGTCTGCTGCGTCCTGTTTGTCACCTTCGAGTGCCTCCACGGTGACCGCAATGCGGCGTTGCAGCATGTTATGCACGCATATAAGATGATGGAGCACTACTTCATTCAGCGGTCCATGGTCGAGGATGCTCGGGAAACAGACTCCATCCGCTCTGTTTGTGACGATGCTGCGTGGATCTTCCAAGGCATGACGATGCAGTCTTGGTCGCACAACGTGCTTCACTCGAAGAACTCAAGCGACATAAGCTGGTGCTGCCGTGGTAGCACTCGGCCCTTTGCAGTTGAGGAGATGCCTTCGACGTTCGCTGACCTACACATCGCACGAAGATGGTGGAGAGTGGTTCAGCACTACATCTGCCACCGCTGTCCGATCTATACCGACATGTATGCGGACGACATGCCGCAAGAGGTCATTGCTGGCGGGTACATACGAAATACATATGAACTCAAGGATGCTGAGGATCTAAGGAGAGTCCTTCCTCAGTTTCTTGCCCATCTTCAACGCTGGCATGACAGCTTTCAGGGGATCTATGACCATGCCAGGATTGGACAAGATCGCGACTTCAGCTCATACGTCGACGCATGCAATCTGCGTGTACAGTATCTTCTTTTATGGAGCGATGTCGTGAGCATCAGTTACAGAGATGTCAAGACAGTCAAAAGTCTTACACCAGCATTCCGCGAGATTGTGGACTTGTCACGGATTGTCATTCAAACACAGTCTAACTGCGGTGGCTGTTCTGAGGTGTTCAGCATGGACAACGGACCTACCATGCCACTGCTGGTTGTCGCATGTAGATGCCGCGACGCCGAAGTGAGAGAAGAAGCAACGGAGCTGTTAGGGAAACATCCCAGGCGTGATGGCTTGTGGGATAGCAGGACGTTTCACACAATTGCTATGAGAAATAAGGCCATTGAGTCTGACAACATCGCCTTTGAGGATGATGAATTTGAGGAGTGGTCTCGACTTTCACGGAGGGAAGTTCACTTCGATGCCAACGGGGACGTCCAGGCAAAAATTGTCAAATGGCATCCCGAAGTCGGGGAGTGGCGTGTTGTGGAGGAGCAACTCGCTGAGCCATCTCATAAGGTGCCTCCAGACTACAGAGAGCTTCCACGAAGGCAGCAGTCGATCAAGATTGCCCCAAGACTTTGTTAGATAATTATTGACTGGTAATGCGAGATCTCAAGCTAAACTCTAGTAACTCTGACAATCCCGTTCCCAAAGCCAGCCATCCGCCGATGCATAGTAGCACGTATTTCTAACATGAATTCCATGATCGGTCGAGAGCTACCTTCCGGGCTAAACCTCAGGCCTCCCTTCAGAATCTTTCTCGGAACCATCTTCTGAATGGCCTCTGCCGGGCTTGCAACAATAGTCCTCGTTTCCCCAAACGCCGGAGCCCTGCCAAACGTCTGGCGGTGGGCAGGGAGTCCGTTGTTCGGCCTGGGCCATAAGACTTTCTAACTGGTCGCGTTTCTCAGGAAATATTATCGGAAGGAGCTCACGGAAATGTAAAACGGTTCCATTATGACATTGTGGAGTCATAACCTTTCTCACGAGGGGCTGCGAATCCTCGAACCTGGAAATGTTAGACACAAGGAAGTGCCCTCTCTTCGTTCCCGGCCACCACATAATGAAATCCTCGTCAGTGAACTTAGCCCAGATATCAGTGTCTGCGCCATAGGTCAAGAACAGAGCTATAAAGTCTGCTCGGTTCTCCATTCCTGCTTCATGGGGCAATGACACGAGAATACGCATAAGCCAAGCGTGCCAGCATGTAATAGGTACACCATGGAGTATACAAGTTCCGATATTGGACTTTGCGCTAGATGATGCTCCATATTTGAGATAGGCATGTACTCCTGCTAGAATTCTTTGGTTGACGACTTTCGCAGGAGTGCCTTCGAATTGTTGGGGTTCGTCGTTCTTAGCGTGACCGAAGACGTAGGTGCCGGTGAGAAAGTTGTCGAGAACAACACCTTCAGATATGTCGGTACCTTGACTACAGAGGAATCTATGCCAAACTTCGGGGGAATCGTAATTATTGTATATCCCAGCTCTCATAGAAAGAAGGAGCAAAGCGTCTTTGGGTGGAAGGTACCAACTCGAAGTGTTGAAGGAATGTGCGAAATGAAGACTGAAACTTAAATTTATTTCCATCTCATGCAGATTATGATGTTGTAGGATATAGCCAAGTTCTTCGAATAGGCAAATCCAACGGTCATCGGATAATCTCTTCTCCAAGTAGTGATATTGGGAGAGAAGCCCACGAAGCTGGACATTAAGTTTCTGTCGTACGTAGAAGACACTTGGGCGGAAGTGTTTTATTGCGGCAAGGTATGACTGGCAATGAAAGTCCCCTTCATTGAAATCAATGTCATCCGTCGCGTCAGCGCGCATCGTTTTGTTGACCTCATGTTGTCTCAAAAACTCAAGCACCGTCCTATGAATACAACGGACCTGCTGATGAGATGGATAATGCTGATTGATTTTAGATGGTTCCTTGTACGAGACATGGAAGTGGAAGTATTCTTCGTCTTCAAAATCGAGAACGACGTCTGAGTCCGTTGTGGCATCATTCGTGCTGCCTGACTGCTTCGTCATGCTTCTCGGTCCATGGTCTTCTGGAATGTCATCCAACTCAGCCGTATACACCTCAAGAAGGCCCATGCACCTGCGGTACACCGCCTTGTGTGTATTCTCCAGTCTCTGATCTCGGGATGCAGCATCTATCTGTCGAGGGAGAGGGGGAAGATCGAGCGCGAAATTACGGTTTTTCTCGTATTCTTCGAGGAACGAATGGCGAATCAAAGCCATAGGGATGCGTGGGCTGTTCGACGGAATAGTGGCCAAAAGCATCCGCATAGCCTTCTTCCTATCCTTCCTAGTCGCGAAGCCTTCATTTGCCATGGACTTGAAGATGTTTTCGTAGAGAATCTCCAGTTCTTTCGGCAAATCATTGACCCTTTCTTCAAGATCTTCCATGAGATCCCCAGCCGCGTGACTTGAGATGAGTCCTTCAACAACGATACGCACCCAAAGAAAAACACCCTCAGCTTTTTCAATGATCTGATCAATCAAACGTCGGGCTCGTTCTGTTGCAATTGAATCTCCTATCGACGAGATGAGATCTGCCAGCTTGTGGCGGACGAAGCTTTGAATGTCGCGAAATGTGATTTCATGCAGCTTAATCTTCGGGCTATGGACAAAGGCCCTTGTGAAAACAACCCACTCGCGGCTTGATACACAAATCTTGATGTTGGTTGGATAGCGACCGGCCCAGCTGAGCAGCAAGTCTATCATGGCCTGATGCTCTCCGACAAATTCATCTAAGCCGTCGATGAAGAACACAACAGCGTTCGAAGTAAAGAAGTCTGGTGAGTTGAACAATTCCGTAAAGGCAGCTTCAACATACGATGGCCGTACTTCAATCGGCATCTGCTGAATAGCACAAGACCATAGCTGTGGGAAGACTTTCTCGACGAGGCATGGGACTTGTTCAAGTATTGAACACAACAATGCCTGCTTTAGTCCTTCCAGAGACTTTTGCAAGGGTGTCCCGTGCTGATAGAAGAAGAAGTTTGCCATGATCAGTGATCTGTTTCCAGCCCATGTCTTCAATTGATCTTCTGTGTTGCCAGTTTGACAAAGTAACTTCATCAATGTTGACTTCCCTGCACCTGGCTTGCCAGTTATGTGGAAGATGCCTCTTCCCTTTGAAAGCCAAGTGGTAAGGTCTCGACGGGCGTCCAACTCCACAGCTGTCTCGTCAGGTCTGGCTTCTGATTTCAGAATCCAAGAGAATGTCTTCTCATGGGCAGGCTTGACGTCGTCGAACCTGCGAGTCATATCGGCGACATGGAGCTTCTCCAATATTAGTGCCTGCACGGTGCGCTCGGCTGCTCCTTTGGAGAGAGCCAGAATATCCGCAGCTTGTTCCATGAACTCGGGAACATGCCTCCAAGCCTTCATTCGAGTCTCAAGCTCACTTATGCCATCTCTCATGAGCTTGACTTCGGTCGATTTGGCCTTTCCCTGATCACGGATCTCCTCCAAGCGCTGTTGTAGGTCTGCACTTATTCAAAATTTAGCTAGGTCATAGGATGATGGTGCAGCCCAGCGGGAACTTGGCACTTACCTTGACGCGAGTGTTAGTTGCATGTGTACTCGCTGTCGGCAAGCCTTCAAGTCCTTTTGTAGCTCTGCCTTCTTGTCTTTCTGGCGGGAGCTTTTGAACAATTTGAACGCTATGTCCCGCTTTCTGGTTGCTTTGAGGCCTCCCAGGAGACTCATCAACTCAAGTGTCAGGATCCTGTACTCATCGGTGACTTTGACAAGCTCGGCCTCATGACTATTCTTCTCAATGTCTGAGTAATCCCGGCGTATACTGTTCATTTGATTGTCACATCGTTTGATGCGATCTTCCAATTTCGCGTTGTCACCCAGCGATGCCGACCCATCTTCTGCAATCGCTTGTGCTAAAGCGACACCTTCGGCAGCAAAGTCGACGAAGCTGATTATGCTGCTGACTAGACCGATGATTTCTAGCCCACTCATGATCGTTGGTCTGTTATGTCTTGTGAATTTACCTAGATAGATTGAAGGCTAGACGATGTTTTAATAAGGCGAATCCTGCACGGCTGTCGTAAGAGGACGCAGGAAGCGAGTTGTGAAGCATTGAAGGGGCCGGATTGACAGAGCTACGGGGCTTTTCCAAGAGTTGTGTGCTTCTTACTCAGGACCTACAGAGGCCACTGGAGCCTTTTTGAGCGCGCTCGGTTCCGGGTTTGCCGCTCGCCAGCTCCGATTCGTTGGTCAACTTTGGTCTCTCAAGCGTTTGATGTTTTTCGGATCGAGGCATAAAGGTACCTATGTGACCAAAGTGCTCAGGGGGCAACAACTCTTCACAGATGATATGAATGAGGCATTTACCGCAGGGCCGCGTGAAATGAGTTGTTCAAAATGAGGGAGATGTTGGGCATCAGGCTGCGAAGGCTCATCGGAAGTCATGGGATCGCGCCTGCACCTGCCGGGTTTTCGGACCAATGCCCATGAAGCTCTCAAATTACAACGCGTCAAAGTGGCCCTATCTCACCACAACAGGCTGTCCAATAATAGATGGTGTGATTGGCTCCTGCTTATCCGGCCAAGAGAGGGGTACGGCGTGCTGACGGTCGCGGTCCTATTATTAGTTTCTATCTCACCCTGGCCACTTCAAGCGATAACCGCTGGCCAGAAGGCATAAGTTCGATTGCACTGTTGCTATCCTTGATATGATATCCTCTCCAACTCGTTTTCAGTATTTGGTAGACGTAAGAAAAGGTTGCTTACCTATATCAAGTCTTGACGTATCGAATGAACTTCTGCAACATAAACCCTACTACTCAATGGGCATGGTCACATCGCTTCGATTTAAGAAGAGAAGTTCTCTGACATTCCCGTGGAAACTCGATCAAAATCTGCCTGCAGCACATAGCTACGCAGACTGCAGCCCAACGATGCCGATGATAAAGAGAGAAAAGGAAACACATAGGAGTTCCTTTGATGAGATTGTATGTATCTGAAATGTATTGATCGACCCATGAATGCTTTGAGGTCCGTTCTGCTAGCGAGCTACTTTCGCCTACCTCTTTTCTATTACCTCGGCAATAACATCGTCTTCTAGACGCTGGGCGTCAGCACGAGAGAACACGGGTTGTGCTTCCCCCTGGTTCTTTGGTACCCATCCAATGTAAGGATCCTCATCCCGACGCAAATGCAATCTTTGCATGAATCTTTGGCGGATGATTGCCGGAATGTTGGAACCTTCCGCCAGTCTTCTCTGTCTAGATTCGAAAAGAATCTCCATGGTGTGTAGCAAGGAGACTTGTGGCCAGGAAGCAGGCACCAGATCCTTCATCTGCCTCTTCAGGAGCGAGTAGAAGGAAATCAGGCGGTTGCCCCCACTAAGGTAGGTGTCTTGGAGGCTCAGCTCGTAAGAAGCAGGGTAGAATCCGGCGAGCTCCCAATCAATGATAGCAGAAAGCTGGTAGTCGGGACGTCCGTCAGGAGAGTTGCAAGGTTTAACGATGATGTTGCGAGGGGTGAGGTCGTTGTGGCAAAACACGGACTCGTGCCGCCACTGCTCCATGATCGTCTTTTTGAGTTTCACAGAGCCAAGGTCTTCGAATTGCGACGTCACCAGCCGGCGTGGTGGGCGATATGGTGCAGAAAGGCTTTTTCAGTTCCAATCTCTTGGTTATGGCACCGAGAAGAGCTGGTCCATCCTTGAGGAATCCCGTGCTTGGCCCGCCCATGACTGCTTCCTGGAAGGACTCTGAATTCGAGTCACGCAGAACTTGGCGTAGCAGGGTTTGTACTCGGTCGTCGGAAATCCGTACAGCGTGCAGCTTTCCCAGTGCTCGAACCAGTGTAGTGACAATGGATCTCTGGCTATCGCTGCTCATCTGCTCCCATGCTTCTTCCAGCGTATCTCCCTCGATGAATTCAATGACACTGAACTGCAGTCGTTTGCCTTGTGCACTGTTGGCGACGCCAGTTTGGAAAGTTTTCGGAACGAGATTGTCAATGGCAAGCGAGGCAATCTGCTGCTTTGTTGACACGAGGGCAAATTGTGTAGCTTCCTCATCCCCACGTACAGTCTCAAGACGAACAATGCAGGGGCACCGAGATTTAAAGGAATTTGGGAAGCTAGCTTTGAACACACATTTGTCCCAATCCTGGAGGATAACGGAGGTAGAGACGTGAGGTTGATCGGGGAAAATATGATCCAGAAGGGATTCATCAGCAGCGAGGTCTCGAGGGTCCATGATGTGTGAATCGATGAGGTCCGAATGTGGAATAAGGGAAAGCAAAGTCATGAGCGAAGTTCATTGGGAATTCGAGGGTGGCCATGGGGCGGTTATTAATAGTTGGGCAGCTCTGTTCCTGACCGCCTAGATGCATGTGCGACAAGGGGCGTGTTTGTCAAACGGACAGTAGGGAGGCCGGGCGGCGCAGCCGAGATATGAGCGTCTTGAAGGCCGTTTGCCCTCCGATCCGTTTATGGGAGTGTTGTCCCAAGCGCCAGTAAACGGTCAACAATAGCTACCGGCTCACAGATAAGCAAACATGTACAGCCAATTACGCACGTTGCAAACAATGCGGGCTTTGGTCAAAAGGCACCTGATTTGCACCTCATTCTGGTCGCTACTAGGTACTTATGCTCAATTTCACACTTCAAACAAGCAGCTTTCACGTTACTATGTAGCATTGATGACTAGTAAGCCAGTTGCGAAAATGCACATCCAGGTTTTCCCAGATCTGATGCAAAACCTCTTACGGCTAGTTACTGACTGATATATGCCACATGAATATAATGAACCCAGCCTGGTACCTAGTCTTATGGGTAACTAAACCGCAACACCAGAATCACGCCGAATAAAACAGCCTAGACTCAGGTAAGCTTTGGATGACCCGGTAAGAGTCGAGACCCTTCTCCAACTTACGTCTTTTACCAACGATTCAATTAGAAGTGTTGCAAGTGCAGTTGTTAACGGTTCCAGCGAAGTTCTTGCCGCACTTGCCGCACTTTTTCTCGTCAATGGGATTAGGTGGCGTCGCCGACTTAGCGGGGGTGGTTTTCATCTCGTCATGAGGCGTCATCTTCTCAGACTTTGAATAATGAATGATTGAAATGATTAAAAATTGAAAATTCTGTGTTTTTCTTACTGATTGTTGTTTTTGATGTGTGAAAATCTCAACTTAACTTGACAGGCAAGATGTCCAGTTCGCCCTTTAGTTAATGGATATTCTCAGCTGTCTACATGCCCTTGAGTGACTCTCGTTGAAAGAGCAGCCATTGAGCTCAATAGCTGATGCAACCGTTCACGAACTGCTGGGCTGATAGGTATCTCGACCAGCAAGTTGCGTACGTGCCAAGGGGCAAGACACAGACCCTCTTGGCCGTGGTTTCTTGAACGAGCTCTTTATCTGTGTGTCGCATAACACAAGTAGACAGTTGAAGGGATAATCGCATGGATGAATGGACGGATGAACCGCAAGCGGATAGAGGTCTTAAGGAATCTGGACTACATAGTACAAACAAAAAGTGTCAACCCACAAGTCGAAGCAAGTTTCGCTAACCAAAATTGCCCTGGAAGGATGGCTTAACCCGCTCAGGGAGGCGGGTGATACAGCCGCACCTCACCGATAGACAACAATGAGGCGGAGTCTGCAAACAACACAATCAAGTGGACGCAATTCTCGTGGTCCTAGCCGTTCCCATCCAAAGAGCGAATTCGCGCAATCCATGGCGTTAGCTGTGCATTGGCACATAACGTGCTGTAAGAAACTCCAGTTGGTACTACAACCGTTCGCAATCACTCGCCGCAAGATTGAACCCACCGTTGTAGTACCACAATGGAAACTATCCATCAAGCTGTATCCAGAAGTCCATGTGCTAGCCTTGCTTTCCGATAGTGTGAGACGGTCGCTGTCGACGGTAAGAGATTGAGAGAGCAGACTTCGTTGTGATAAAGCGTATCAGCTACATCTTCTAGGCTACATTCCATCGGAAACAATATGATATACCGGCAAGAATACCGGCAAGAACCGTATGGCTATGAGGACTCAGGGGATATATGTTCGGATTGAGAACAGAGGTCAAGGCTGACAACCTTAGAATACGATTGTTTCAAATGGTGGGGAAGAAACACCGCGAGCCACCTGCTGGAGCAAAGTAGCAGGATGCTCGAGCGGACACGCATTGGGACTTTGCTAGGGGGGTGAATATGTTCGTTGACCCCTATTGGTTCCCTCTTCACTGGGCGGAGCTCACTTGCGGTGGCTGCATGCAAACGATGTTGCTCTTGTGATTGGTTTGTACCTAATCACGTGGAGTTCTCAACTCTTCACGAGTTCAGGTTCTGATGCAACTTGGCGAGAGACATAAGCACTTTATTACCTCCTCACCGCTGACAAAGTAGTCGACGGCCACGCATGACCCCAAACAAGGCCATCTCATTACATGTCCTATCCTTGCAGCAAAAAGCATGTTCTTATGTCAGTTTTGCAAAAGTATTGAGGTGCAATATCTCCCCTCGGCCACTGGGGTTACACTAAGGCCTGATGAGTTCGAGGCAGCCCCGTCGCAGCCTCATTGCCGGTCCTTTTTTTCGTTGCAAGAGTCGGCCAAAACGTGTAAACTTTGTCATTTGTTCTTCAAAGGCCTCAGAGTTAACCAAGATGAACGGCTTCCCAGCGGCTGCGCTTATATTAGTATGGGGCATACAGATTGGGCCGCTGAAGATCCCCCTCTGACCGTGGAGCCGGTCAATATCAGGGCGCTGAGCCGAAGCAGCTGGAGTGTGAGCCAGAAGCAGCTTTACGGTATTCAGGTGACTTGTGGGTACAGGACATGCGAGTTTGGGCTGTATGCAGACGATGGTATGTGACCGCTCAGGCTACTGGATTACCTGCTTAACATGATCCAAGATTCTCGCGCAAAGAAAATTGGAATGGTGGTTGGCGAAAAGCCTGAGCCTGTGAAGAAGTGCCGGCGGCCTCTGGGTTGGATTCAGGCATGCCTCAAAAGTCACGATGTTTGCTCCCGATACCAGACACTTTTCGCGTCAGCGACATCCTTCCCAACCCGACTTCTTGACCTTCAGCCTACTACACCACATGCGGACGTTCGGCTGGTAGACGGCTCCAGTTGCAGCTATGCGCCGTACGTTGCATTGAGCCATTGCTGGGGCGCCGCTCCCGTCGTCAGAACGGTCAAAGCCAATTTACTTGCCTTCAGGACCAGGATCGATCCGTCCTCACTAAACAAAACTTTCAATGACGCTATGGACGTTACCAGAAACCTCGGAGTGCGCTATCTGTGGATCGATTCTCTGTGCATTGTACAGGACGACGCAGACGACTGGGACCGGGAGGCGGCCAGGATGGCCCAGGTTTACTCCCAGTCTTACGTTACCATTGCTGCGACGTCTGCGCCTGACGGTACTCATGGTTTGATCCGGAAAGCCCGCGATGACCCGCTCATACCACTTCACTTTCAGAGCAGTGACTCCTTGAATCGCGGCGTGTCAATTGGGCCGTCACTCAACAAGTTCCAGCGCATCGACAGGGAACCATTGAACAGTCGAGCATGGACGCTTCAAGAGCGAGTTCTATCCCCGCGAACACTTCATTATGCGGTAGATCAAGTACATTGGGAGTGCAGACAGTCCATCATCAGCGAAAGCGGAAGCTCTCCTTACGGTTATGGCCAGGGCGAATCGGCCGAAAACTCCATAGCCAGGGGTTGGCTTGGTAAGATGGCAAGAGACGTAGTTCCGGACATCGGACCGGGGAACGAAGAGATCTCTAAGCTAGTTGGGGGCGTTCCCAAGCTTGCCATTAACAACTCAAATGTGTCATACGAGAACTGGTATCGGATGCTGCAAAACTATACGGAAAGAAATATCACCAAAGACGCCGACAGGTTGCCAGCTCTGTCCGGTATTGCGAGAGCCTTTTCCAGTAAGAACCCTATCCCCTATCTAGCGGGTATTTGGCTGGATGACATTGTTTCTGGACTGCTGTGGTATGTCAACGTACCAGAATCAGCACGACGCCCAGACACATACCGCGCTCCATCATGGTCTTGGGCAGCTGTCGAAGGCTCTCCGGTAACATTCCTTTCAACCCACTTCTTTGGACGCCGACCAGGAGAGGTCGATGAGATAGAATACATCGACCACAATGTTGATCTAGACTCAGCCGATCCCTTTGGGCGAGTAAAAGCTGGCTCATTGACCTTACGGGGCTATGTTAAAGCTGCAATACTCAAGACAATGCAGGAAGGCCAAGATATCGAAGGAGTTCGAGCTTCCATGCAAGTGTTGTTCGATGAAGAATCTGCGATTGGCACGGCGAATTTAGACGTTGTAATTGCAGACGGTCCTGTACATTGCCTGCTTGCTACTTGTACATACCCCCAGGACTCATCGTTGCATTATACTCCCAACGTCATTCTTTTGCTTCGTTCATTTGGAAATGCTGGTCAATTTCAACGAGTGGGAATGGCCGGATTGTTTCCACAGCGGATTCGCGAGCCGCAAAAGCATTCTGACCCAATTCCGCAACCGGGAGACCCCAGCTTTACACAAACGGGCAAAGTTAAGCTCAACGAACAAACGCCAAAGGGGGAGAGCCTAGAAACTTGGTTCGATGAAATAGAAACATCAGTCATCTCTATCATTTAGATATCAGGCAGTCAAATCGAAGAGGCCGCTCGGAAGGGTTATTCGTGAAAAAGCACACTTCGCTTGGAACTTGCAGGGTGATGGTTGGCTAACCTTTCTCATTTGTTGATTATCTGCGTCTGCTGTGCCGCCTCAATGCTGGAGTTATCATTGGCCCAGCTGGTCCCCAGATGCTGCAGGCTTGGGGTCATGCGGACCACGCAAGGCTCCCGACCGTGATGAAAATCCCGCCATCTTCATCACCGTTCTCGACTGTTGCTACGTCAGACGCCAGAGGAGCTCGCCATCGCTCGGGGCTTGCCCAGGTCTGCAGCCTTAGCCGACATCACAACTTACGGAATCATACGTTTATGACACCCAGAGCCTTGACGAAGACTGTACCAACATTTAGTCCGGCTCCGCTCCCACGGTGGCGCCTGGTCTGCTCGACGATTGGATTCACACGTCATTCTTTAGATACCTACAGCTCGGGATCGCCTTTCGCCTTAATTGCCCAAAGTACGCAGACAACATGATGACACCCGTGGAGATCATTGGGCTTGTCAGCGCAGTCATCACATTCATCGACTTCGCTGCCGAGAATATTGCGATCGCTCAAGAGATTGGCAAGTCTGGCACTGCTGCCAAAACAGAGAATGCTGAGTTGGAGAAGCGCGTCGGTCTGCTTCAAAAGCAGATTGACAATGTGCGGCAGAGCACGAATGGGTCGAAGAACGACATCCACGTAGTTGAACTGTTGAACCTTGCGGACGAGTACCACGACCTTACGACCAAGCTGCTCACCCTGCTGAGTGAGCTGAAGTCAACCAAGAAACGTCACGTGGTCTGGAAGTCGGTCAAGAATTTGTACAAGAAGAACGAAAAGGAGGGTCTGCAAAAGGATCTAGAATACTGCCTGAGGAGAATACAGCTTCAACTGATGCAAGTGACGAGGTAAGGTTTCCCTGCGTTGAGAGACATTGAATCGAGCTAATGGCGTTATTTATGTAGATATGAGTTTGGCGCACACCTCGATATGATCAGTGACCAAGGAAATAAGCAGATGGAAGAGTTGAAGCAACTCAGAAGAACCACCACCAATCTCGAAAGCGGCATGAGCTCGTGGGGTCACATTCCCAGTTTACTAGAGCAAGTTCGTCTCATTGTCCATGAGTCCAAAATAGCACTTGGCCGAAAGGCCTATTTCAAGATTATGGACGGACTGAAAGCGAATGGAATGGTCGACAGATTCGACGAAGTTGACGAAGCGCATGAGCACACTTTCGGCTGGATTCTAGAGCGAGGGCCAGCTTCGGAAACGGAAACAGCGGAAGAGACTGAGGCGCGTCGAGGAATCATTGACTGGCTTTGCCATGGAGATGGTGTTTTTCATATCACCGGGAAGTCGACTCTCATGAAGTATTTGTGCCAAAGCCCGAAGACCCAGGAATATCTGGGCTCTTGGGCTGGGCACAAATCGTTGATCACAACAAACTTTTTCTTCTGGAGACTAGGCAGCGATATCCAGAAGTCACTCGACGGGCTTCGGCGGGCTTTGCTTTACTCCATCCTGCAAGAGCTTCCAGAATTTACTGAAGATGTATTTACGCGCCATTGGAAATCAATTTTTGATGACAAAGTTGTTTCAATTCATACCAGAGACGTCGATACCGCCATTGAAGCTCTATTCAACCAGACGGCCTTCTTAACATCCCACAGGCTCGTTTTCTTCATTGATGGCCCGGATGAATATGATGGAGATCACGACGGAATGCTCAAGACGATCCTCAAATGGACCAAAGAACACCACAACGATATCAAACTCTGCGTCTCAAGTAGAGAATGGGAGATTTTTACACAACGGCTAGCCGACTGCCCCAGGATCAAGCTCCAAAACATCACGCGCCGAGATGTTCAAACCTACGTGAACGAGGAGCTCTCCGAAAACGAAGACTTCACCCAAGTCTCCCTTCGAAGTCCCAAAATACTCAACCTCGCCAACATTATTACAGAAAAGGCTGAAGGCGTATTCTTGTGGGTGAAAATCACGCTCCGGAGTCTGAAGTGGGGATTGTTGTCTGGGGAAAGTGTGAGAGAGCTTGAGGAAAGAATCAGCGCATTGCCTAACGCGCTTGAAGCCCTTTATCAATCAATATTCGATTCTATAAGAAGCACCAGTCACACAAGCCAAGTGGACAAAATGAGATCCATGCGGACGATTCTCACAGTTTCGCGTTACGCCATTGCCAAGGAAGAGTCGATGTATTGGCCTCCTTTGTTTCAAGTTCCACTCATGTACTACTCATTTATTGACGAATACGAACGAGACGAGGACTTTGCCATTAATCTGCCAGTTGGGAAAATGGAAGAATCGACACAGAGGGAACGGATAGAAAGGGCTCGCAAAATGGTTTACCAAAGATGTATGGGTCTCTTGGAAACATACACTGTTCCCACTCCCGACAGACCTCGCCACTATAGACCAAGGAACAACGTAGCTTCCTCAGCTCAACAAACAGCTGTGGCCACCTGGAGGGAGTCTGATGATTCCATCGAGGACGGAGATGAGATCAGTGATGCTGTCGAAACGTCAACTTCTTCTTTGCCGACTTGGTCATCCTCCCGCAGCATTATTACCGGCAAAGTAACTGACGAATACCTCCACAAGCATGCACAGTTTGTTAGTGACGGCAAGTTCAACCACCAATTCATGTATCAACCAAGAGTTCGGTGCATTCACAGGTCAGTGCATGAGTTTCTCGCCAGGCCGAGAATCGAAGAACTTGCGCGCCTCGATGCACGAGACTTTAACGAATCGGACTTTCACCTCCAGGCATTCGTAGCATGTCTGAAAAGGTTTCGACCATCTGTTTACTTCACTAGAGAAAGGCTGCTTCTCACGTGTGAGATGCTAGTACGGGTAAAGCATAGCTCTTCGAGCATGCGAGGCACTCGCCTTGCGGCCCTTCTGCAGCAGGTATTACACGTCGTCAAACCTTATCACTTGCTCCCAGGAACATTGATCGGTTCTGTTGATTGGTCAGCAGACGGTCGTCTTAGCTCACACGCAAAAGTTTACTTATCAGCTGATGATGCGTTTTATCTTGTCCTTCAAAGACTGGAATTGTGCAATGGGTTTCAACACATCAACGGGGACGAGCTTTCCCGTGAGCTTTCCACCGAGGATGGAATGACCCACTACAGCGATATCGTTTTGGACAACTATTTAACAGGGGTGATACATGTCGACCTTCTTCCGGGTTTCAAACATACAAGAAAAGAATACTGCTCGAAAGTTTTCAAATCTCTATCGAGACTCTTTGAAACAGGCCTGTCGGCAAACGCAAAGTCTGTCCAAATTTGGTCTGGCCATCCAGTGGCGAAGTGTTGGTATCTATGGCTAGCACAGTCTCTAACCTGTCGAGACCCCGAAAATATATTCCAGGGGTTTGTCAGTCTCTTCCTCCAGCATGGAGCTGACTGTAAGATTTGGTTCAAGTACAATGCGGATGAGTTTGCAATGTGGTGGAGTGGGGCCAAGAAAGCCAACCGAATCCTCTTCGGACCAAAAGTACTGGAAAGAACGCCTGACTGGTTCAGGTCAGAGAGTAGAGTTGGCATTTTCATGGCGTCTCATACTGAGGAGAGTGGTATTATGCCTCTGAGAGACATTCTTCCACATATGTATCCGAATTGTGGCACTGAGCTACAAAGGCTAGCGGACCAGAACCAGGGAGTAAACCCTCCGCCCGCAGAGGATGTTTGGATTGAAGAGACGGAGGACGAAAGATATTTTGTGGATTCCGCGAGTCTAGCTTCCTCATAGTTCAGTGTATTTATCGTCTCGCTGGTTTGAGGTTTCCCAAACATGTTTTATCAACTCTCTATTATAAAAGTTTACCTGGTTTGATTGCGATAAGGCGCTGATCTTACAAATTTTCAAATTGTAAATGGAAAGAAGAATGAGGCCGCCTATGTCGTCCGTGCTTGAGTGACTACTTTTCCTGTGGCAATATACTATACCTTCACGTCCTTATTTCTACTGTCGCCACTATGATTGCTACCGTTGTCGTTGTCGTCGTCGTTTTTATTACTCTTATTGTTACTTCTCCGTCTTTGATAGGAATAATAGAATGTATAGAAAATGTTGCCGCACATACACGGAATAGTCAGGCAGTTTCAGGAGAATAGAAGAATATCAACGGTCAGACCCCGCTTCTGACCTTATATTTTGTGCATCAACTGGTCTTCAACCTCTCCCCAAGCCATCCCCAATACCCAGCAAACATCCCAATCCCCTTCCACCCTTCACAAAAAGCCCTCATAGCCTCCATCCTCTCCCTCTCAACCTCCCTCTGCCTCCCCTCAACCCACCTGCCCCCCTTTCCCCCCTGCACAACCCCCATCTCCCCAAGCCCATACACAACCCTCGCCTCGCAGACAGGACACAAATACGGCGGCTGCCTCGCATCCTCCCCTAACCCCGCGGTGCCCTGCATGACACAGGCATAGTACACGCAGTGATCCATCCCAAAACAGTGGCCCAACTCATGCGCCGCCGTCCTCGCGACCCTCGAGAACCACAACCCCCTCTGGTCCTCCTTCGTCTTCGGCACGACAAACTTCTTCGCAGCATTAATCGCAGCACCCAGCGCCGTGCCCGTCCTCTTCTTCAAATCCAGCACCGTTCCCTCTCCACCCTCAACCTTCCTCCCCCCACGCTTCCTTTTCTTATCCCCATTAGCCTCGCCTCCACCCCCATTCTCCCTCTCAAATTCCTCACAAAACCCCTCCACAAACTTCACACAATGCGCCAGCGGCCACATATGCCCAACCTCCACCCCAAACGCCAGATCCAGCACCGGCCTGTATCTAAAACTACTCACCACCGAGATCCGACTCCCGCCAAACGCCCGCCCGCAACAAAAGTCGTCCTCCTCATCCTCATACAGATCCTGCGCGACCACCAGCACGCACGCATACGCGTCCCGCGGCACCACCCCCATCAGCGCGTCCAGCAAGTCGCTCAAATTCAGCTGCATCCTTGCAATCTCATCTTTACTCGGCCGCGCCCGCACGCCCACCACCGTCTTGTCGCCCGTCGCCAGCCCGACCATGTCCGCCTTCCCCCTGGCCTCCCAGCGAACGAACCTCATCGGCGTGGGCAGCAACTTCACCTCAAGGGGATAATAAAACGCCGCCAAGTACCCCATCAAGTCCGCCGTGTCAGGGTGCTCCAGCCGCGGGAACTCCGCCGGGTCAACCAGGTCCTCGACATCCGGCTCCGCCCACTCCCGCATAAACGCCGCGCTGTCATCGATCCGCGGCACGTCCGCGACGTACAGCGTCTTGCGGTCGTGCGTGATCGGGTTGCGGTACCCGCCGTTGATCCACGACCGCAGGCTTTGCGGGGGGTACCGCGGGTGCAGCGCGAGCTCGTCGTCAGGGAGGACGAGCGGGCCGGGAAAAGTGGAGGCGTCCGGGGCGGCGACGGGGCCGGGCGACGATGCACCGCCGTCGGGGACTCTGCCGGAGCGCGTCGTTGCAGCGATGCGTTTGTCAACGGGCACGCGCTCGAAGCCGGCGGTCTTGCGGCCGTAGTCTGACGCGTCGATGAGGACGGTCTGGTGGGTGCATGCTTTCTTTTTTGCGGGCGCCATGGTGGGAGTTGACGGTGCAAGTGTCAAACGTCCGCCGGTCGCTGGGTGAAAATGAGAGACAGACTTATACGATTCCTTCGCATCCCATATTCACCGAGACGTTCCAGATTCTGTGCCGCAGAATGAGTCACAAGCACGCATAATCACCCCGCCGTGAATTCCAGGACCGAAGAGGAGTGAATTGTTTGATGAAGGGGCTAGTTTGTAGCTAGAAACCAGCAAAACCCCGCTTTCCGCGCTGCTGCCTACGATGCCTAATTCAAGCCACTGGCGGACGATTTCTTCAGCCTCGCATCCTAGAACTATTCCTGTAAGCACCAGCATCGCTTCTTGCGAGTCGTGTAATTCCAGGCTGGGTCGTGTTGACACTGCCTTGCACTAGGCTGACTCGAAAGTCGTGCGGCTCGCCTGGAGGTAAACACTCGTCCGGATCCTCGATATCCTTCGAGCGCACCCAACTTGCCACTCGCCCGAGTGAGTCGCCCAGTCCGCCCTCACATCCAAAATCAACAACGAGCCCAAAAGAGCAGAGGCATACACCCAGAAAGCCTCTTGCATCACTCGATCCAAGCAGACGTGCCCCGAGCAGGCCTCCAGCCTTGACATCAACGCCTCTGCCTCGGCCATCCGCGGACGACGGAGCATGTGTCCCTCCAATGCAGTCCAGAAGCACAGAAGAAACGTCCCTTATCAGCCTTTCCTTCCTGCAGCCCTGCTAACACGAAAATGACGCCGTCAGTCCGTCTGCCCTCTTCACGCTCGGCCGGGTCTGGCCTTCTTGCAGCCCTGCACTGTACTGCACCTCGCCACCGCCTTAACCATGCCGTCGCGCTTGCGCATAACAAACCGGCATGGCCCCTTCAGACGATCCGCCCGCAACACGCAGCACAACACCATACGCGCGCTGATCCCGCTACCACCGCCGCGGTACCTGCATCCCGCATCCGCGAAGGTGACGGCCGGCCGGATATCCCCCAATATCACACACCTCATCATCGCCGTGCATCGTGGGATAATTATCCCACAAACCAATATCACCGCGCCCGCCCGCTCATGCCCCCCAACGGCCAGCGTCAAGAACATTGTCAAAAGCCTTGCGCGACGCCATCGCTCCCCCGCCCGCGATCTCTGACGCGCCCCGGCCGTCCCGCGACCGCTTCGCGATGGTTGACGAATGAGATGACGCCACACATAAGGACGTTGTCAACGCCCAAGCTAACAATCCAAGACGAAAACCCCCAAAAAGAGAAATCTCGCTTCATCTGCCAAATTGAGCCTGTACAGTCGTCAGCTTCGTCAGCTTCAAATCTCTCTCGTCGCTCTGCGAAAACCATCACCGTCGCAAAACTTCGTAAACAAAGAAAAAAGCCAACAGCATTCCTCCCCCACGTGAGGCAAGGTTCACAAGTGAAACCAGCCCGTCTGCCCCGGAATCCCACCTCCGCGAACCGCGACGTACCAAAGCGCCTAACCTCCCACCTTTCCGCACGCCCCCCACGGGGAATATACTCCAGATGAACTCCCCGAAAAGGACGAACAGCGAGAACACATCAAACCTTAGCATCCTCTCGTCGCGAAGCGGGCGCAACTGTCAAGGCTCAACTTCGCAGGGTCTGCTCGTGCTCTGTCTTTCCGTCCAAAGGCCACTGCTGCATCCTTGACGAGGAGACATGGTTTACCGCTGGCGGCACACGTGGTCCAATGGACAGGTGTGATGGGCGGCAAGGCAGCGCGTGAAAGACGTCGGGAGGACCTCGTCACGTCGACACGCTGCGCGCCTGACATGACGTTGGGCATCCTGTGCCGTCCGCGGATTGCGAGACCGGCGCGTGTCCATGCATCGCGACTGTGACCAGTCGCCGATAAGTGGGAGGCCAGCCCCGTGTGATATTGAAGCCTTACTTCAAAGTTGATATGGCGCGACCTGGAGTAACATCGCCAGTCGATGGTTCTCCCATGGTCCCAGGTCATCAAGTGAGCCCTGCTTCCCATCAGTGCACCGTACCCCGAGATGGTGGTAGATTGCGCAGATCGATCCGGGGTCTGATGTGTCGCAGCCAGCACATCATCGCCGGACTACACTGGATAAGGTCCTTATCGCGTGTTCACGGGCGATCATGGTCTAAGACCTTTGTGGCGCCGAGCCTTTGCATCACAACCAGCGTTCTCGGGACCGAATGGTCCTGGCGCCAGTCCATGCTGCCACGAGGTTCGCGGGGGTGTAAGTTCAGAAGAGCCTTGCAGGTACGTGTGCATCTTCGCCTCTTCGCGACTTCGCGGGTACAAGAGGTCTGCTCTCATGATAATGAGCGGGAAAAGGCGTAAGTTGACTGCTCTTCGTGTTCCGCATTGACTTTGTCTTTGCAGCGCAACACTCAGTCTCCACTGGTGTTAATCGAAGCTCTTTGCGGCTGCAAACCGGCAATACCAAGCTTGAATGACTTTGAAGGGAGGAAGGTTCAATTTCCAGAAAGCTTTAGGCAGCCTTGAACATGAGAAACCTGATGCAGGGCGTTCAAAATGTTTCGGTGTCGCAGGAAGATTGTCTGAAAAAGCCGCGATCTATTTGCGGCTATCTGGTAGCCTGTTTCCGCATTTGGAACCGCCGTGCACTCGAGATGGTGATGGAAGATGGGCGCTGGTGCCTCGAGCCCCTAGGAGCATCGTGCGGCGTGCGAAGAATAATTCTCCCCCAGATGGCCATGCCGCACCATCGCGGATGGCTGGCAGACCATGGCAACGGGCCATATCAACAAGCGCACGACCGAATCGACGGCAGGATGAAGCCCGCCGTCCCGGACTTGGTGCGGTCTGACCTGGCCGAAACCACCGCTTCAGTGCCAAGAGACTTTGAATGACTGCAGAATAGCCGCCATTGTCTTCTGTGGCCGTATAATGGATGGCTTCAGGTTACCCCAAAAGCTTCAAGCCAGCACAAAGGTAAAACGCCTGTTTTTCGAAGCACAGTATCCACCATCTGTAACAGATCGTAATGGAGTACGTGGACAGGCGGGCAGTCTTTCCTCATCCGGGGATCGAATAAAGAACAAGATCTCAAACTGCTCGGTGCCGCCTCAACGGGAGGCTTGCGACCGTCGTCTTCGACCTCGTGGTGGCCACTTTCCTGGCCCAAAGATAGCATCAGTTCGCCGCCACAGGGTCATTAACTTCGGGCACCATCGGCAACGGAGAAAATTCTGACATTTTCTGTTGAGAATGGAACACCGACGTGGCTTGCCGCTTGCCGCTCGACGGATTGATCGCTATGTGGCTGCATCCACCGATAACTTGGAGAAAGAAGGCTGCCGCCTGAGACTTTTCCACCGGCGACGATCAACTGTCAAAGGTAGCAAGCTAATGGGTTTCTGTCCGAGTCGAGACCGGTCTGAAGGCGATGTACCGCAGGGCTACATCATCCCGGGGCAAAAACCGATCAGCGTCTCTCAGAGGCTCTGCAACTTTACGTTCGACCGACGCAGCCTTGGAGACCGGGAGAGTAGGCGCTTGCAACTTCACATGCGAGTAAGCATTGCTGGCAATCAACGATGGGCCGCAATGCGACGGCATCGCCGTAACAGGAAGTATGCCCTGCACAGGATAACGTCGCCGGCCTTCCGCTGAAGCTCTAACGCGCGGCCAGACTGCGGATAGTCCCCGTCACCCGTCTCTTCCCTCTCGCTTCCATCTTCTTTGCAGGTATTTTGCAGGACTGACGAATGGCCGGCCGTGTTAACCCTCCATCAGGGCAGGGCTAATGCAAGGGACACAAGACCGAAAAAAACCTCACTCCCGGTCATTCGTCGGGCTGGACACATCGACTCAACAAGTGAGTCGCCTCTGACGCTGCACACCATCTTCCAGGCGCGATCCTGCGCCAGTCAGATGCAAGTTGGAACCGCAATCGTTCGCGTGAAGCCAAAGTGGGTGTACCGACCCTTGCAAACTCGGTCGGATTCCAGGGCACCCAAATGCAATTTCTGCTCTGCTGAACAAAAGTGCCAAGGATGGAAAGTTCAGTACAGCCCGGCAGACTATTGCTTCCAGTGATGAAAACATTTGCGCCAGTCGATGATGACCCGTGTTGGACAACTCCGTCGAGATGATTTGCTCTCGTATTTTTCAAATCTAGGCACAAGCCAACGGGCACTGGAGAGTGGAGCGAGGGTTTGACCCGCAAAAGTGAGCTTCGTTATGATCATTATGTGATCACATCTCAACAGATCGTGTCGGCACTGGATGTCGTCAGATCCAGCTGGGTCATGAGGAGCGCCCCGATCTCGCTGACCCCTCCTGCCCTTCATCGGCGTGCTTTACTCAAGACCGGCGGCTGACGAGAGAAGGAGCCTGAGAACTCAATCTCGGCATGTCAAGATGCCTGTCCCGCTACAACAGAGTGGAAGGATTCGTCCCCACACCGAAATCCACGGCCCGGCCCAGATGAAGTGATCCGGGGTAGGAAAGCATTCGATGTGCTACGGCGCAGCAACAAGATTTTCCATCGGTTCAAGGGTTTGGTCGCAAAAAGTGCCAGATGGGGATTTCATGAACGGCTGCAGATGCAGAATCAGGTTTTCAGTGGCAGGCCTGCATAGGTAAGCAAGCCGTGCAGCTCCAGGCATCTTGTCAGCGAGACAAATGTCCGGCATGCAATGATGTTGAGACATGTGGCCCAAGACCTTGACCAAGGAACCACGTACCAAGAGGCCGTTAAGTGAAGTGGCCGACGGATAACGGGCGAGTCGCCAACTGATGATTAGCCGGCTAGCGAATGGCCTGCGTGTGCAAAGCAGTGTCTGGAACACCTGCGGTGATAGAACGCGCTCCGAAGAAGACACCCATGCTCTGATATTGACCAAGGTAGCTTGTGTTGGATCGAGGACGTGCCTTCAACCGACTGTTGTGCGATTGCTGGAGCAAAGCTGATCCATCAATACACAACGGGTGATCAAGAAAGCCCAAGTGACTCGATCCCTATGCCTGTGTAAGTGGCAGGTTTGGGG